GATGTAGTAAGAAATCCTTTTAAATTCTGGATGTTTTTCACGCTCTCCTTGGGACGGTCCACAGGGGGGTGACCACTAGAAATGTCTGATGGACGTGATGTTAGTCTGTGTCCTGCTGAGATTAGTAAAACACTAAATTTAGTGGTCCCACACACATCAAGGAACTCCAGCGTTGCAGGAAATGGCTTAATGTTTAAGTTTTTTGGAATCTTTATTCTTTGTAGAGTTGGGAGCAGAAGGATGCCCTGGATCACTGTAAGAAACTAACATACGCAACTGGTGGTTCTTTTTATTACTAATATTCTAAACTTTTCAAATTGATCTTATACAAAATATGAGTGCTGTTACCATTCCACATCCTTGCCAATGATGTTGGATTTCAGTGGCAGTTAGTACACTTTAGACACTTGTCCAGCATGGAAACACAGTCACACATATGTNAAAAAAATCACAACCACTTGATAAAGTGGTTTGCATTACAAATGTATCATGAACTCACAAAGGTGAATTAGCTGGATTTTCCGGCTGGCAAACTATGAGCAGTGTTACCAGCAGACTCCAAATAATTCTCAGGTTCTTCTGCTTAACATCACTGTCTTAATATTTAAAAGGGTGCAGAATTTTAGAAGATGGTTTTAAATTCAATAACAACAACAAAGACTTGCATTTATATAGCGCCTTTCAACTCAGTGAGCTTAATTCAGACTGTGTTTGGAACAAATATTTGTAATACCAAAAAAGAACTGTAGAAAATTTCCCCCGTATTAAGACAAAATTTGAGAATATTTTCCAAATTTCTGTACAATCTTAAATCAAGCCCTGGATCAGGACTTTAAGGTCACACTCCAGACTGTGCTCTATTGCAGGGCAGCACTGCATTGTTGGAGGTACCATCCTTTGGATGAGACGTTAAATCGTGGACTTGTTTGCTTGTTCAGGTGATTGTTAAAGATGCCATAACACTGTTCAAAAGAGAAGACCAAAAACTTGTTCATTCACTCCATGGTTGAAAACATGAATTTTAGGTCCGCCGGATTTTGCCAATACCAACCTAGCTCTAGCAGAAAGAATGGATGTAGAAGAATGAAAATACATCTTATATAGGGAATCCCATATATATCACCCCAAAATGAAACAGTGGAGTTCTCACCAGTCCGTGTGATGTACATGTGTTTCACTGCACTAGATGACTTCAGATCCCAGTGCAATTTTACCTGCACTCATACATTTTCCTTGTGGTTTTACCATTTTCAACTGCAGTTTCCAGGCTCAGTAAAGGGTCTCAACAATTTATACTGAACTGTTCAGGCCAAATCACAATGCAAAAACAGCATACGTTCAGTGTGAGTCACATAAATGTGAGGCTCGTGTTGGAGGCCAGCTGTCAAGATCACCTTCATAGGGTGTTAGCAGGACAACAATTCACACCACTGATGTAGAAATACAGATAATGAGAATTGAAGGTATGTTTCACAAAGTTAACACCTGTGAATGGAGCTCTGCATTCGCTTCATTACAGACCTCTCAAACTAACCCCTTCCACCTTACATGATAAGAAAAATTGGGAGTATGGAATATAAATATGGCTTCCAGCAGTGTAAACAGGAATGTTTTGGAACAACAGGCCAATCAGTTGATCATTGCAGTGTTGATAGCAACCCATTACCAATATTTTTATGTACTTAATGCAGAACTTGTCAAACATTTTGGTCAGTCGGATGTTTGACATATAGATAATAGTATCCCAACTAGACTATGAGTTCCACATGTCTGCTACCTGTGATTGGAAGTTACCCTGTGTTAGGGAAAGAGGGCACACTCTTAGTGCTAGTCCTCCTGTGCTGAACAGGAAGTACTCATTCCTTTGTTTGGTCTTCAGAATCGTCTCAGGTTTAATACTCGTACCGACTTTCTGCTCTGCTAGCTGTGGTAATGAAATTGGCCCCAGCAATGCTGAAAGCCTGTGAAGTTGTGACTTAAGAGATTTAAACCTGGAACTGCAGGAGGGAGGAAAATCCAGCTCCATCTGTATTAAGGATCCATTCACTCTAAACCGGTGTTCTTCTGCAATATGTGAAGAGTTAAGCAACTTATTCACTTTATGATTACTTGTGGGATCTTGGTGGCACAAAATAGTCACTACCATTAACAATAATTACTTTAAAACATTTTGAGGTGTTGAATCTGGTGTCTTTTCTTACTTTAGTTTCAAACGTTTAAGCAAAACATGCTCTAGCCTTACATGTTTTTCTAAGAGCCAGTCAATATTTTGAAGAATGTGTTTGATACAATCTTTTGGCAATCAAAACATTTCCGTTCTTGATTCATTCCAGTAGATTTTTAATAAACAGTCTATTGTTATACAGCCCAGAAGAGACATTTAAACAAAATTAGATTTTCTGATCCTAGCAGCCAACAATGCTTGAATGATATATCATTATTATGGATCCTGTTAGTGGGGCCAATACGTAGAAAGGTTTTAAACCTAACCACCATTCTTACAAAGTTGGTCACTCACTGTTAAGTTTATAAATCCTGCAAATTGCAGGATCTCAGACCAGATTTCACGGTAATACTATGGATGTAGCTGTTAGTGAGTCTGTGCCTCCAGTGAGAGTGCTTTATCCAAGGATGCTAATGATCGCATTTTTAGCAGATTTTAGCCTTTTTCTCTATGAAAACATTTTTTTCATATTTGCTTCTTGTTTTTAAATCAAAAGGGCATTTTGACATTAAATGCTGTCCTGTTATTTGTGCACTTGTCTATTAAGTGATGCACAATGGAGATACGGTGAGTTTGCAATCTCAGCTAACTTGCAGCACACTTCCAGCACTGCATTGGAGAGTTAGCATAGATTAAATGGGGCTTGAACCCAAAGTTTTTGACTCGGAGGCGAAAGTGCTACCAACTCAACCAGGCTAATACATGGTGGTGCAAGGATGCACAATATGTTTTGCAATTTTTCAGATCAACAATCATATTTTGCATGACAATATTGTTCCAAGATCTATTAATGAGTGTAGCCCAATACAAGACATAATTCAGTGATAGAGAAATCCTTGACTTCTCCCTGGTACTTGAGATTAATTAACATAATGAGAATATTTTAGATAAACCACCAAATGTGAAATTAAGGTTATCAAAGGTTTGTGGGATGCATACCTCAAATAGTTTTTTTGGTTTAAATTAAATAATGTAAAAGATCTAGATTTGAACCTCAGTGCACAATTTGTAAGCGTTGTGTTCAGCCTTTTATATCACAATTAAGGAAGATTATATCAGTGGCCTTTGACAAACTATCCTCGTAAATGCAAGGTTCGATGAAGGTATTAGTTTATCGGTGCATAACTATTAAATATCAGTACATAACTGTCAAATAACAGTGTGTCATTTGACTGTTATAATCAGTTTTTCAACATAACAGATGTATTTATCTGTGTGTTTAATTTGACTGAAGCTTACAATCTGCAGCTTAATACACCTGGTGAAGTGAACCAATATAAATTTGAAATCAGAATTTACAGAGCAAGAGACATGTGAAGCTACCTGCAGATGGTGTATGATGCATGTTCATCTTAAGTTCAAATATTTGGTTTAAATTTGATTTGGTACACTACCAGCAAGTTAACTGGCATGTGAGAGGGCAGGCTGGTCAGAGTAGCCTGGCTGGAATTTAAATTGAACGTTAAGTGAAATTATAAAACTTGCAACCGGAAATTTGAATGATTGACTCTAGTGGTTAATTCAGTATATGTCCATTTCTCTTATAGCATGATGGAACAGAACATCACAAATGTCATTCATATGTATATATATATATATATATAACTGCCCAATTATTTTCACTCCATTGGCATATGGTCTGCTAACTGGTCTGGCCTCCTCTTTCTGGGGTGAAATTACACTGGCACTGGTTGCCTCCACCCAAGTGACCATTGTGTGGCTCTAACCACCCTCCCTGGTAACCTGTTTCAGTTGTTAATTACATTCTGCATAAAGAAATATAATGATCCTTCCCTTTGATACAAAGCCTTATCACTTCTCAAGGCACGTCACAGTTTTCTATAGGCAAATATACCAAAACGTTGCCTGCAGCAATGCAATGAATCACCAGTTTTTATTATCAGGAAATGTTGGCCAGGACACCAGATGAAAAGCCCTTCTCTTTTCAAATAATGTCACAAATCTTTAGTGTCTACCTGAACAGACAGATGGGACCTTGGTTTAATGACTGAATGGCACCTCCGACAATGCAGCACTCCCCCAGCACTGCATTGGAGTGTCAGCCTAGAATTTCAATTCCTACTCAAGCGAAAATGTTACCAATTAAGCCTGGCTGACATCCTATGCTTACGCTCAGCGTTTCTCTTGAATCTAACGTTTGAGTGGATGCATGACCTTGTTTCCCATGTATTTTTCTAGCCTTGAAAGGACTTTGCCCTATGAGAAATATTGCATAGTCTAGTAACTAATCATTGCAAAGGACACTTCACATTCATTGAGGGCCGATTGGTAAAGATTTAAATATTGTAACTTTCCTTGAGAGTGTCTTGAATTGGACTTGACCTCAGCTGAGTTCACCCCATCAAAATACTATTTCCAAACACTAATGGAATTCATGTTATACTTTGCATTTGAATGACTAATATAATTGAGGCCGAAATTCTACCTAGCTGCCTTACAGTTTGAGATTGCAGGTTGTGAAAATACTGAAATTCAGTCTTAATATGGAAGCCAGTTTTCTGTAATTCCCAATTAAAACTGAATTTAAGAATGTTCTGCAATTCTGCTAGATCTTAAATATTTTAAGATTCAAATGGCCTTATAGGCTTAGACTAGGTGGAATTTTGTAAAGTTGATGTGTTCATGACACCCAGCGGAGTATTATGACAAAGGAATTACTTCTTTTTATTTCTTTACTCATTGTTTTGTCCAAATATCGCAGCTTGAGTTTATATGACCATAAATTTCATTTTCTGTTCGCTATCTATTCCTTCAGGTGCAATACAGTGATATGCAGAACGGCAAAGAGTGTATGACCTACCTGACACTTTCACCTATACAAATGACTTTTCATGGCATAGGAAACTCTATTGAAGCTAGCCGTGATCAGGTATGAAACATTTAAATTGTATTAAAATTGCTTGAGAATGATTCTAGGATGATTTATTTCTCATCTCAACTTTCCTAACGTCCCAGGCCACTCGACTCAGATAACTGTAAACATCTCTATAGTTTCCAGCTGTCTTGGGATCTGGTAGGAAATGTTGTAGATCATCCAGAAATAAACCCTTTGGCTGATTTCCTTCGCTTTCTTTGATGTGGTCCGTCTATGAAACTCAATGACTAGGGAAAGTTTGATTCCAAATGTCTTATAGGCTTAGACTAGATGGATTGACTGGGAAATGAACTCAGATCTCACAGACCGAATTTGTCTTTCGCTACTTGCACTATTTGTTTTATTTCAACAGTTGCTTTCCACAGATTCTTCTATTTAGAATTTCAGACATTAGGGTTTGTATGTTGGCATTTTTAGAGGATTTCAGCAAAAAAGTGACACATCATTTAGTATTGAATAAAAGTGCTGGTTTATTCAGATATGGAAGCATATAATATTACTGAACAGAAATGCATTGATTGAAGTAAAATTCTGCAAAGATAACATCAGTTTCATTCAAGCATTCAATGTCGGAGAATTAGATTCATTGTTGATTCTTATTGAAGCATGAAATTAACTCCATAGAAGATAGAGCCTACTCTCCTCACATGTTCCGTCCTAAAGCTCTATATTCTGTTAAAGGCTTTTTTATTACCCCTAATAGATTTACCATTGTACGTTGTAAATGAGTAACAGTTTTCATTATGATGATAAATTATTTGTTAAATATTTCTGGTCTTTGGGGCTACTGTTGCATGAAAAATGCTAATGTTAAATGGATGCCATGAAAAGTAGAAAATTGCACTCATATAAACTTAGCCCTCCAGCCCCCCTCCCCCTTTCTCACCATCCCAGACACACACACAAAAGAAAATAACTATTCAGGCTGGAGACGGGGCCATGGATTTCTAGAGGCCTTCTGGCGCCAGTGAATTGCTCACTGGAGTGTATTTCCATCAATGAAGAGATAAGTGGCTATATATTTATATATTTAAAATATTATATGATTTATCCCTTCTTCCCTTCCCCCTAACAGCCCAGCTATTAAACTGGGGGAGGGGGGAATCCATAAAGGATTTGAAAAATAGAGTTAAAAGTTAGTGGACTGAGACAAACCTGCAACTACAGGGGTCAGAAATTCCTGTGGTCATTGGTCTGGAACTTGTCTTCTCAGGGGTCTGGACAGGCAGAAATACTAATTTGTGGGGTCAGTTGAAAATAAGAAGCCATTTGTAATTTTCCATGAAAATTTTTGATCAACCTGTATTTACAGGGTTTACCAGAAGTAGCTGCTTAAGATTGAAATTGCAACTTGCAAGAGCAGAGGACTAAGCAAATTCATAACTTTGAGAGGAAGAGAAGTCAGCAGATTGGCTGTTACATTCCAATGCAACAATAGTGTAGTGCAGGGTGGGGGGGAGGGGGTGAATACGTAGCTCTGAGCATTGACAAGCAGTCCATGTAATAAGGACTGATACAGCGTGTTCTACATTTAATTGAGGGTGACACGTAGAACTTTGAAAGATTGCAGATTGCCCAGTACCATAAGAATATGTTTCCATAGGGCAGTTCCATTCAATTTGACTGAACCTTCTCTTTCAGTCATTAATTGATAAAGATACCTATGAAAGGTTGTGTTAATAATAATAATCCTTGCATTTGATATAGCGCTTTTCACGTCTTCTAGACGTCTCAAAGCACTTCACAGAATATACTGTAAAGTGAATTGACTGTATATTTGTGGGCGAATGCGGCAGCCAATTGCGCATAGCAGTGTCCCACAAACAGTCGTAGATTGAAAATGACCAATTTATTATTATTTTTGTTTTGGAGGGATTATTATTAGGCATGTGGAGTAAGGAAACTTGCCCAAGTTTCGCCCTCTGCCTGGAATTGAACCCAGGTCTCTCGCTTGCAAAGTGAGTGTTCTAACCACTGAGCTACAGGACTCCTGTGTTTCCATGTTTAGATACAGATAATAATAATCCTTGCATTTGATATATATGTGCATTTGTTGTCATTAGAGTATGTTGCACATCATCTCTGTTAATTCTATAAAGAGTGCATTACGGAATCGATAATTTTGGTGCCGAGATTGACTGATCAGTACTGCTGAAGTACGTTTCACTTTTAGTAAAGGTTAAAGGCAGTCATCAGTCCAATGTGCAGTTAGTTGCACAAATAAGACAAGAGTAACAATTCACAGTTTTTTTAAGTGAAGACATTCACACAGAAACCTTTGTTAATCCCTCAGATCCCCTCTACACTATGATATTTGCTTTACCATCAACTCTGAAATCGCTCCCTTTTCATACAACATGCATCTGAAAGAACAAGTGATCAATCTCCTCCCAGTTGTCTGCTAATGCCATTATAACCTAGACACCAGTCAGAAAGACAGGAGCAGTTTGGCGTTGACTGCCCCTCTGATTCTCCCTTGCCCCGTGGTGAAATGCCTGAACTCCAAACTGTATTTACCTGCACTAAATTGAGGTGAGATCATAAATTCATCATTAGCCTCCAAGAGAGAACTGGACAAATACCTTAGAAAGAGACAGCTAATGGGGTAAGGGGAAAAGGTAGGTAAGTGGGAATGATAGGATTGCTCTTGAGGGAGCCAGTACACAATAGATCGAATGGCCTTTTTCTGTAGTTCTGTTTGTAAATTTACAGATCTTGGTGGGTTAAAACATCTCCAAATTCTCTGGGAAAATCCTTTTATACACATATACTGCCACTCTGTACATTTTACTAACCTTTGGAAAATCCCTGTTAAATTAATCTCAAAGCACTGAATAAGTTGCAATTTCAAACCTTCACATTAGAGCCAGAGCCACATTGTGCAGTGTAATTGCTGTATTAGTCTGTAATATTTCCGTAATTTTCTTCAGTCAATACTAAGCAGTATTGCGAAACATTGTTTGCAAAACAGCAGTAATATTTGGATCTTCAAAGTGTAGTATCTCAAATGTGTTTAGTACAAGTAATCACCCCAGTTCGTTGAATGACTAAGCTTGGACACACCTGTTTATTAACTGGGCAGCCACTGACAGTTCTGATTCATGACTGAGTGACTGCTGGACTGGTCTTCACATGATCCCCATGGTGAGCTCTTCTACCGCCTACTGAATGCAGACTGTTTGAAGTTTCTTTTAAACATTTCTAAGACATTAGTACAGCAGGAAACCTCTGATGGGGTCCTTAATGTCACCAAGTTAGCAGCTGTTGAAATCTTTTCAGTTTGGAATGAGCTACTTTATCTTTTTTTAAAAATAAGTTATATTCCAATTAAACTTTGTGGATTCATTATGTTATCTTCACTTTAGCTAGAACAACAGTTCGGTTATATGAACAACAGTTTATATTTAGTGNTTTTTGTAATTAAACACAATCTAGTTGTAAATCTGTTTGAGTACATATCCAAAAATGTAATGCGTCGTTAAATGGTATGTTTAGAGAGAGATTGAATGAAACAATCAGCTTCAACAATTCTCTTTGCACTTCAGTATTGTGATTACAGATGTAAGTTCAGTGCTGGATTTGGTTGTGTTTACAATTGTAAATTTTAAGTACTACTGTATAAGCATGGACCATTAGTTCATGAATAGAGCACTTTTACAAGAGGAGTAAATTTTGCATTCTGCCATCAAATATGTGTGTTCTCCACAGTGTCTTACAAACAGTACATTTATTCAAATTAACTAATTAATTTAAACTGTTTCATTGGAGAATGGGCAGAAAAACTAGAAAAAAAGTCTTCTTTCCAGTTGTTTACGTATTCCTGCAAAACATCTGAATGTGTATGGGGTGTTCGCACGTGTGTGTGTGCAGTCTCCCCATAAAAGTATTAGGATATTCCATAAAAAAACGATCTCATGGCCAGTGATTATGTTAAGTTTGTACTTTGGTTGTACCCAGTACGTTTTGTGCTATGTCCTCAACCCATTCTTAGCGTAATTTCAAGGAGTAGGAGAATAATAATAATCCTTGCATTTGATATAGCGCCTTATCATGTCTTCTAGACGTCTCAAAGCGCTTCATAGAATCGACTGAATAGACTGTATTGACTGTATATTTGTGGGCAAAATGAGCAGGAAGACAGAGAATCCTATTTCAAGGATTTTCTGGCCACTAGCAGTTATTGAGAAAGCATGAGACAGGACTATAGGAGAAATGGGGAAGAGGAAATTCCAGGGGGTACAGAAAAATAATTGGGATCCAAAAAATAATTCTGTGACTTTTACTGGTTTTAAGAGATGTTACTCCCTCAATATGCAAATTGCTTTAAATATTACTCCTAAAGATGACTGTAAATCACCTTTAGCTCTAAGGTGATTCATTTAGTTTGAATCAGCACTTTTTTCCAAGAAATTTTGAACAAGGAGACTATCTAAATGAAACTAAAAGAGGTATCCCAACTAGTCAAGTCTGCCAATAAAATAAATTCAATTCACTTTACAGTATATTCTGTGAAGCGCTTTGAGACATCCAGAAGACATGTAAAGTGCATATCAAATGCAAGAATTATTATTAAACCCAATCCTGGCCTTGCTCCATGTTCCACGAATGTTCATTTTCCAGCCAGGCTCGTTGATGAAAACTTGAAATGTCCCTTTGGAGAACCATGGTTATGTTCTGAAAATTTAAAATTTACCTTCAGTAAATCAATTTACTGAAGGTACAGCCATGGAAGAAGAAAATCAGTCTGCAATCCCATTCCAAATTTCCATTTATGACCGCTGCAGTAAAACAAGCATATGTGGACACAGGGTGAAGACAGGATTGGGTTGATCCTTCTTTTAGTCAAATAACCCATCAGCAATCATTGTCCAGGGGCTCAAATGACTAGTTATGTGCAGTTCTATTTGTATGAAACTGTATCCCAGCTTGGGTCACTGTCCTCAAGATATGAGGGAAGACAATGAAAAGAATCAACTTGTATATCAGGGACAACT